CGAGTGATTTTCGCAAACTATCATTTAGACCGACTAGACCTTGAGCCACGTACGCTGTTACTCAGAGGTATTCTAAAGAACCTACAAATCCCTGTGTCTTTTGCAAAGGTAACCATTTTAATAGTAACTGTACTGTTTATAAGACCCTAGAACAGAGGAAACGAAGAGCGTATGAGCTCGGGTTATGTATTCAGTGTTCGAGATCAGGTCATCGATTCAAGGATTGCAAGGCAAATAAAGTTTGTTATTATTGTAAAAAGAACCATAATAGTGCTTTCTGCGATCGATTTGGTAATGAAGCAACCTCCGCTAATTCTCCGATAGCGCCTGTACAAAAGGATTTCAAAAAGGAAACGGCTACCCCAGTCACGACTGTAGAAACTGACAATATCTAAAGTAAGAATTTGTTAGAAGTAATACTATCAGTTGCAAAGATAAAGGTGAGCAATTCATCGAATGAGAATTCAAGTGCGGAAGTTTATGCTTTGTTAGATAGTGGCAGTCAAAGATCTTTCGTGACGAATAAATTGGCCAAACAGTTGAATATACGACTCCAGGATAACGACAATTTGTTTCTTCACACATTCGCCTCACCGGATTCGACACGCTATGTATTACCAAAAGCAGAGTTAAATCTATATTTAACTGATGGAGTTTTAAGAAAATTACGCCTAAATGTTATTGAAAATATGACAACGAAGTTGAATACATGCGTAGTGGACAACACCGGATTTACATCGTCAGGCCATGCAGTCAAACCCGATATTTTAATCGGTGTCGATTATTATTGGGAACTGATAAGTTTAGAACTGACAAAAACACGTGACGGTTTTTATGTACTGCCGACGAGAGTAGGTGAGATTGTTACAGGAAAACAATCGGTTGGAGTGGACAAGGACGGTGTCACAAATAGCGTAATTTCATGTTATGCAATAACTGATCCAACTTTACAATTCTGGGACTTAGAAACGTTAGGGATAAAAGAGTCACCTGACGTTAATGCAGACGATATAGCTTTAAAACAATTTTATAAGTCTTTAGAGTTCAAGAGCCAACGTTATGTCGTAAGCTGGCCATATAAAAACGTCGATTGCGTCGTTTCAGACAACTATTTCCTTTGTTATTCGCGTTTAAAATTGATGTTAAATTGTCTAAATAAGGAAAACTTACTTGGTAAGTATAACGAGATAATAAAAGACCAGTTGTCTAAAGAGATCATTGAAGAATTTAAAGATAATAAACCAAATTGTCGCGTGTCGTATTTACCACATTATCCGGTAATAACGTTAAATAAACAGACGACAAAGGTAAGAATAGTTTATGACGCTTCGGCGAAGTTAAATAAAAATATGTTAAGCTTAAACGAAACTTTATATTGTGGACCGGTGATGTTACCAGAGTTATGTGGTATTTTATTACGTTTCAGGACATTTAAATACGGCGTAATAGCAGACATCGAGAAGACATTTTTACAGATTGAGCTCCACGAAAAGGATAAGGATATGACACGTTTTCTTTGGGTCACGGACCCAAACAAGGGGTTGTCCTCAAACAATCTAAAGATATATAGATTTAGGAGGATAGCCTTTGGTGTCGCATCAAGTCCATTTTTGTTGACTACAGTAATTAGGTACCATTTAAATATGGAAGTTCAAGAAGTTTGTCGAGAAGGAAAAATTCAAGAAACTGAAACATTACAACAATTATAAAACTAGGTTTATGTAGTTAATTAATTATAGGATGTGACACTCCTGATAAATTTAGTTATTTACATAAAATAGTTGAACAAGTGTTTAGAAAAGCATCCTTCAATATGCAATCATGAGCCTCTAATATCCCACGGATTGGTGATATGATTCCGACAGATGATCTGAACGAAGCAAGGGTACAGAAGGTTTTGGGAATAACTTGGCAGCTGGACAAGGACGAATTACAATTACGTTTCAGAAAGAATGTAAATGACGGCGAAAGATTACAAAAGGAAGTATTTTATCTCGACTCGCTCAGAACTATGACCCCTTAGGTTGGGCAGCACCAGTTAATTTGAAGGCAAAATTGCTGGTACAGAAGTTATGGAAAAAATCGTTTACTTGGGACGAGATTCTGCCGGAAAAGATTCAGAAGGAATGGAAAGAGATACAGAAATTATGGAATGAAGTGAAAGAGATAATTATACCTCGAAAATTGACGAAAAATGGAATAGTGGCAGACGGAGAACTGCATGCCTTTGTAGATGCCTCCTTGCATACTTATGCCACGGTATTATATTTAAGAAATAAAACTCAACAAGGTTATCAATCAAATTTAGTATTAAGTAAAAACCGTCTGGCTCCAATAAAAGGTACGTCGATTCCACGTTTAGAATTATTAGCATTGTTAATTGGCGTGCGTGTGATTTCGTACGTAGAGCGAGAATTAAAGCTTCCGATCATACGACGTATTGTATGGTGTGATTCTAAATGCGTATTATATTGGCTGAAAACATCCAAGATTTTATCCGTACTCGTAATGAATCGATTGAAAGAAATCAAGGAAGCCAAAGGAATCAAAATACATTGCGTACCATCGGAAGAAAATGCGGCCGATTTGGCAACACAAGGTTGTAAATCACGAGAACTGATAAGAACTGAGAGTTGGTGGAAAGGACCAAGTTGGTTGCAACAAGATGAAAGTTTATGACCGAAGGAAATGAAATATGAAGTAATGGAAGAAGACCAGACTGGAGATTCAGAATGTCCTATAGAAGCTTTAAATATAGAAGAAAAGAATCTTTGGATAAATTTAAAGGACTTTTCCAGTTGGTTCAAGTCATTAAGAGTAGTGGTATACGTTCTGAGATTTCTAAAAATAAAGCTTTTTAACAAGTTTCTTCAAATTAGGCCGGAGCCGTCCTCAACAAGCTTTTCAATTTTCAGAAATATAAAAGAAAACAGTTTTATAGACGCAAAGGAATTAAAAACTGCCGAATATCTAATAGTGAAACTAGAACAACAACAAATGTTCACCAAACAGTTTAAAGCACTGAAGGAAGGAAAAAAGGAAAAACTGAAAGATCAATTGGGACTTTACTTGGACGATGACTTAATTCGATGTGCAGAGCCTTATAAGAATTTTCAGATGCCAAAAGAAAAGAAATATCCGGTATTGATAAGTCATCGAGGAGAGCTGGCACGATTGATCATTAACGAAGCACATATCAGATCAATGCACATGGGATTACAGACGACACTGAACGAAGTAAGACAACGATGGTGGATAACCAAAGGCCGAGCTACAGTAAAGAAATATACGTAAGTGCGTAATATGTCAAAAGTATCAAGAAAGACCATATGCTTTATCAAAAATGCCGTCATTACCACCTTTTAAAGGAATGCAGTGTAGACCATTCGAAGTAATCGGTTTGGATTACTTCGGTCCGGTCTCAGTTAGATCAGAAGAAAATGCTAGTAATACAATAAAAGGGTGGGTTTGCTTATTCACCTGTCTGGTCACCCAAAATATCCATCTAGAAGTGGTCCACGATGTGACTACAACTAGTTTTCTAAACTGTTTCAGACGTCTTATAGCCTTTAGAGGGCAGCCAAATGTTATATATTCCGATAATGCGACTCAATTCCGAGCAGCCCAGAAGAAGTTAAGTGAATTGTGGAACAGGTTAATTTCTGATGAGGAAATATGCGCGTATTATGCAAATAAGGGAATAACATAGAGATTTATAACGGAGTATGCTCTACGGCAAGGTGGATATTATGAACGACTTATCGGTATTGTAAAGGCAGCAATCCAGAAGACAATAGGAAGTAAAGTTCTGAAGTTTGAGGATTTTAGAACATTAATATGTGAAGTTGAGGCAATTGTTAATTCAAGACCCCTAACATATATTTACGATGAACCGGGAGCATCAACGATCAGACCGATGGACTTTTTACAGACCGGAAGTCCCTTTGGGTTCATCCCTATAGGAACTTTCGACGACCCCGACTACATCCCGCCTCAAGAAAGCAAAGATCTGATCAACCTGTACAAGAAAAATCTCACACTCACAGATGTCTATTGGGAAACGTTCAAAGAAGAATATCTGTTAAGTTTAAGAGAGCATCAAACAATGCTACACCACGGGGATCAACAAAGGCTACAGACAGTACCCAAAGTGGGTGATATAGTCCTTGTAAAGGAAATTGACCTCAGGCAAGGAGAATGGAAGATGGCGCGTGTTGAAGCCGTAAATAAGCGTCGCAACGGCTGTATACGGTCATTCTTCCAAACCATAAACGAATTGAGCGGTCTCTCAGCTTGTTGTATCTCCTGGAGTACGTTCTGTGAGTTCTTTACGATTTTCGTAATTTGGTGTTAAGTCTTCGGCTTAGACGATTATTTTTTCACGTCGGTCTTGTTGGATTCGTATTCGGCGCGTTTTTAATATATTTTTGTTTGGAGTCTAGTTATAGTAAAATTTTGTAATCTTATAAATCTTTTAAATTTAAAATTTTCTTTATAACTTTCTTTTATAATTTTTATAAATTTGTTGGTTTTTTCAATTTTTAAATTTTTAGTTTTTTCTTTATAATCTTTCAATTTATTTCTTTCTTTTCAATTCATTCTATCTTTCCATAAATCTTGTTTACGTTTAATTTTCAATTCCAATTTAATCATTCTACGTCTTGTTCATTTTTCAACTTTCGTTCATAAGTTTTCATTTATATTGATTTCAATTTGATTTACGTTCCATTTCATTTTCTGTTTTTATTTAAAAGTTTTAGCTTTTTCAATTTATTTTTTGCATCTTCCTTATCATAAATTTGATTTCACGTTTTTTCTATTAAGTTTGAATTTTAAGTTCGATTTATTTTTTGTTCATTTTCATCATACATTTTTCATCGAGTGACCTGATCTGTATCAGAAGAGCTTATACAATTAAAAAATGAGTAGAGTTATGCGATTCACATGGACAAAGGAAATCGTCATGGATAGGGCAGCGATTTACATAGTATCGCAAGTAAAGAAAATGTATACATCGTTAGTCCTCAATGTAGACGATGAAGCTAATGAGCGGTTACTGGAGATAGCGCCGGTTTTACTTCAAATTCAGGATCCAGAGATCTTGAGTCCCTTTGACAAGGTAGAGGTCAAGTCATATCGCATAAGTCAGATAAGTGGTAAACCTAGGCAAGTGCCTATATATGGA